TTAACGGCTGGTCGAGACTGCTGGTGGAGTGACTTGCGGAGTGGCTGGGTGTGGGGTTATTGGGACCTGGGGCGGGGTTTGTGTGAGATGGGGGGATGTAGGGGATGCGGAAGGAGAGGTATTGTTGCACGCTGGGGATGTAACGGATGTAGAAGACGTCGCCTTGGTGCGGGGGTTTGGGGCGGATGGGGTGTCGGATGCCGTTGGTGAAGGTGTATTGGGTAGGAGGTGGAGGGAAGTATGTGGGCAGATGGCTGGTAGAGGCAAAGGGACCTTCGTTGGGGACGTAGTGTGCGACCTCTTGGCCGGCTGTGTGGGCGAGGTTGAAGCTCTCGCGCGAGGGCGAGGCCACGCGCTGGACAAACGGGGAGCCAGACACCGACTGGGGAATGACCTGCGGGCTCATGGTGAAGACGAACAGCCGGGGGTCGATCTGCCAGAAGCTGCGACGGCTGACGAACATGTTGGCCCAGGATTGCGGGTCATAGGGCTCAGCGCCGACGGACGAGTCCTCGGAGGCAATGAGGCCCATGCGCTCGAGTTTCTGTAGCAGCGTACGTCCCTTGAAGAAACCTTCGCGCTTGATGTTAACGCGCCAGTCGCCTCTGGGCTGGCCAGAAGGCGGGGTATTGGCGGAGGCGTCAGTCTGCAGACGACGGTCGGGCTGGGGTTCGTGGAAGTACCACCACAGCGTGACCCAGAGCATCATGGCGATCTGACGAGTTGGGGAGCTGACCGGCTTGTAGTCACTGCTGGGTGGGTCGACAATGTAGGAGATGTAAAGGGAGTCATCGCGCAGGGTGGGGGTGGTGAAACGAGTAAGGCGGGCACGTTGCTCATCATCGCCAGTCCCGCGAGCTCGACCACGCTCTTCATCGTTGGTGTCTGTGGTGTCGGGGTCTGGACGGTTGGTTGCGAGAACGATGCTCCAGCCAGGAGGCACGATGGACTGGCTGGAGTTGACATCGTTGGATTTGAAGGTGAAGCCACCGAAGACGGGGGAGACTGTGAAGCTCAGCCCGTTGGGCAGATGGCACACGTGATAGCGCATAGTTGCTGACTGAACCTGACTTGGAGCAGGAAAGGGGAAGAAGAGAAAGCAGGAAGAGAAAGCAGGAAGAGAAAGCAAGAGGCAGGAAAGAAGAAAGAGTAAATAGTCACTAGTAAATCGTAGTATCTACACAGTGGGGGGCAAAGAATGAGCTTGTGTGGGATGATGCGCAAGTTGCCCCTCACTGGGTTTTTGACGATCGCGCGGCGCCTGCAGGAAACTCACTTTTGCTTTCACCGGCGCTGCAGGAAATAGATCAGCCCAGTTCGGGTGCTGTCCGACTGGGTGGCCACATGTTCCTGGGGTGCCAATGGATCCCCGCGGCAGCACGAGAGATGCAGAAGTTGCAGTGAGCTGAGGCAGATGAAGCAGAAGCAGAACAAGAAATGAAGCTCAAAGAAAAGAGAAGAGAGACGATGGTTGATGTCATGTTCCGGGCGGTCAGCAAATTAGTTGAAATTGGGAGAGTTGATTGGTTGGGAGTCCATTCCTTACCCTATTTTCTCTGATTTACTTCTAATTTACTTGATAATTTTATGAGCATTCGAGAAAGAGGATGAACAATAGAATAGAATAGAGATAGAATGAATGATTGAATTGAATATGGATATCATAGTCCAGCAATTACCTCCTTCTCGGTGCCCGCATCGTGAGTTTCAAGTAATTACTACATGAAAAGAAAGAAAAGCAATCAAAATTCCTCCAGTGTCGTGCCCACTCCCTTCTCCCGCGCCAGCCGCACCAGATCGCCGCCCGTCACCAGATCCATCAAGCCCATCCCCACGCTCTTGAAGATCACATTGCCGCGCTCCACCCAGTCCCGAAGACTCTTGCCATCCTCACTGTTGTCGCCCTCCCCGCGCGACGCATCCCGAACAATCAGCAGCTCTCCCAATTCCACCACCTGATGCGGCCGAATGCCCGCCTGCACAATCTCGCCGGCTTCCTTCAGCGCTGCATCCAAACTGTCCACCACCACCACGCCACTCCGTCGCACATGCTTGTGAAAATGCCGATGCGAGCTGTGCACCGTCACCTCGTCGCGCAGCAACTCAGGTGGCAGCTCCGTCATATGCGGCCGGTATGATCCAATCGCGCTGATCAGACGGCCCTTTCGGCGTCCGTCGCGCGACGTGAGGATATGTGCAGGGAAGAGCGGTTCCGTCGAGGGCGTGCAACAGAAAATCGCATCTGCCTTGAGCAGCGCATCGTGCAGGATGCGGTCGTACTCGACAAAGTCCGTGCTGACAGCGGAGAATTTCACATCGCCGCGCCAGCTGGCGTTTTCGGGGCTGTAGATATCACGCAGCAGCTGGGCAGCGCGGTCAAAGGATCGGTTGATAATATACACTCGTTTGATGCCCTCTCCACGCAGGATCAGCGCCAGCCGAATGTGCCAGTATGCCTGCTTGCCCGCTCCGAATACCACCACGGTCCGCACGCGCTTGCGTTTGTTGAGGGTCATAGTGGCGGTCAGAGCAGTGCGGAAGGGGGTGAGTTCGTGAGCGTTGATCAGTCCAAAGGGTAAGCTCGTCTCGTCGATCAGTGTCACCGTCCCTTGCGGGGAGGTATCGCGGGAGCCGGCGGCGGGCCAGGCCCCCATGGTGTTGGACAAACCGGTGTCGATGGGTTGCTGATTCACGCAGCCGGGGGTCAGGGATTTGCTGCTGGAGGAGGGAGAGGAAGAGGTATGGTCGTCGTCCTCTTGAGAGGACATGGATTGTTCACTGCCTTCGGAGGAGATGGAGGACATGGACTTGCGCTGGTTGACTCGGCTGGAGGAGGAAGTCCGGGAGGCTGTGGAGGACAAGTCTAAAGCAGGATCGACGGAGCAGCCAGCCTGACCGTTATCTTGTAAGGAGATCATCTTCATGCCCATGGTGTTGCCCGTGCTGGCGGGCATGAACAGAGTGGTGCAACCATTCTGACGGGTAATGGCCGTGCGCGTGGGTTGGTAGGCGGCCGCACAGCCCTTTTCTTGGCTACCGGTGGAGTAGTCCCTCAGAGCATTGGAAAGGTTCTGCTGGAGGTCGATGATCTGGTCGCGCGAGAGCGACAGGAGGAGGGAGCGGAGTTGTGTTTGAGAGAGGATGGTGAGTGGCATGATAAGTCAGTTGATAAGAAAAGAGGAAGAGGGAGGGGAGAGTAGTAGGAGTGTAGAGGAGGGAGGGACAGGATGGAGGATGGAGGAGAGGTGGAGAAGAACGAGCAGGGCAAGGGACAGTCCGGGAACAGCGGAGACGATGGGGGAGTTAATATATTAATTTAGTATCTGAGTACATGCGATAAAGACACGGACAGAGAGAGAAAGAAAGTCGCGAAGACGCAAGCGGGCGGGTTCACTTTTCTGGGCGGGCGGACCGGATGACGACAATCTCTCAGCCTCGGCGGGGCGTTGGATAATACCGATTATCTTATTTTCCCTTTGAAAATGGAAGATAATACTGTAGAATAATTCAAGTGATATCCCAAGTATACACACCCACAAGTAATTGATAGTCCGGTCCATCAATTCCTATCCCTGATAGAAGGGCAGAAGTGATCATCGGAAAGGAAGCCACTCGGGGAATTTGCTCGTGCGTCTATACCTTGTAGTACTTTTAGTCCAGTAGTAGTAGTGATGATACACCCTCCACCATCCATTATCATCCCAAAACTCTCTCTCCTTTGTTGGATTGGTTTGTTAATTGCCCAGCATTGGCATCTCCAACTATCTGATACATACATAACTCCCCAATTACACACTTCGAGGCAGTTCTGGCGAATTCGATACTATAAATACCATACGAACTGGTAATCCCCTCTTCCCTTCCCCTTGGCATCCATCCACCACCACTGGCAACTAGTCCTAATCCAGTAAGTATCTGGTGGGGGGAAGGATGGGTGGGGTGGAGCCCAGACACTAAACTAGGAAATCCTCCTCCCCACCACCCAATCCATCCGCAACGGGAAGGGGAAATAATCAGCAGAAAAAAGAAAGAAGAAAGCAATTGTCATTTCCATAAATTCAAGACAAGATTCGATAGTTTCTGCCGTTGTGTTGCTTGTCTCTCAATAATTCATCCACTAGTTGGTGGTTCTACTTGTCATAATGGGTAATGGGGTTTGCTGTCATATCATTTCATGATACCTTTACTTGCTAATTGCTTAATGCAACCATGTTGGTTGGTTTGTGTCTGACATACGTATACCAGCATAGGGAATTATGATCTCCGTGGCATGAAGTACGTACTTGCATACATAACTATAACTCCTAATGGAGTACCAGTTACTAGACATCCGTGGTGATGGCTGAAACATCTTGCAACAGGCAGATGCAATAAGCCAGTATAGAGTACAGATTGTCTGCCTATCTACTCTCCATCCATCCGATTACGCATCATCCATTCCAATTCCACGTAAGTCCATCCCCCCTCTCTCTACCCCAGATAAGCATTGTTGAAAATATTCCCACATTCCTATCCTCTCCGCGCGTACCATGCATAAAAGTACATTCCTCATTCCTCGCTGTCAATCAACCATCCCCTCTCGCCACCCTTACTCCTCCACGGCTACTATCGGCCCTGCACTCTGCCATCTCATTGCTCGCACGGATACCATTTCCTTCTGTCCAGATGATCAAGCACAATACCTTAGTCAATACTCATGTATTAATCAGATGATAATAATAATAATAATAATACTATGCTATTATACCGTGAGTAGGGCGCAAATCTACCGTGCTTGTACATACAGATCCAGGTAATAATATCAATGTCATCATCAAAGGGGTCAGTTGGGCAATCTGGGACGGAAATATGGGTAGAAAAAATAAATGTTCACCGACGTGGAAGCATTCAAAAAAAAATAATAAGTCAAGAATGAACAAAAAGCAAAATACACATGGAAGAAAAATCAATATCCAGAGAACAGTATCAACGCCGCTGTGCAATGCATATTCAATCACATCACGGGATTCGAGTGTAACACGGGAAGAGAGAGGGGTAGAGGGTATTGGGTCAACTGCTTTTATCATCACACGGTAAGACAGAGAAAAGGAATTCATCAACGATCCCGAAATTTGGGTTGATAGGGTGAAGTCGGAAAGCAAAAATGCAATGCAGGTATTCGAAGACAATCGTCCGAAACTCATCAAGTCCAGCTCGATGAACCCTAATGCCGGCGGCCTCCCATGTACGACCCTGCCGCGGATGCCAGGAACCGCGCTACAAACCCCGGGTGGGTTTGCCCGGGTCCATGTGCGTGACTCAGGGAGTGTCGGGCTTTCTTATTCGGCTGCGAAAGCTCCTCCACTTTCGTGCCGCCCATCGAGACATAGCCGTTGCTCACCGACGGGCTGCGACTGCCATCCACCACGTGGACCTCGTTCATACTGGCTATCGAGCTGGAGGTGCGCAGACTAGCGGGCGTGTCGCCTCGTGAGCTGGGTGCGATGCTGGAAGCGCGCGAGCTCAGCGAGGGTAGCGTTTCAGCACGTGATAGACCTGGGACGTCCTGTACAGCTGGCGGAGAAGAGACGGACGCATGACTGCGGGTCGAGGGACGTCGACGAGGTGGGTACGGGCGGTACCGCTCCGACTCGGCCACAGACGCTGGGGAGGCGCAGTAGGAGCTGCCTGAGGAGACGGAAGAAAGGGAAGCTGACGATGCTGGGCTGGGGGGCAGACGTCTCCGTGTGGGAGACTCGCCAGGCAGACGGCGACCCTCGGCCTTCTGACGGTGAAGGCGAGCAGCAAACAGGTCGGCAGAGGCATGGAAGCGACGCCATTCACGAGGCTGACGCAGCTGAGCCTCGCGCTGTCGCTGCTCCTGGAGCTGGAGACGCCGACGGATGGGCATGAGGAACGGCTCCAGGTGGTGCAGGAGGTCGGCCTCGTCAACACAGATATCCCAGTCCAGCAGGAAGAGCAGCTGACGCTCCATCAGGTTGACTTCGGGCAGCGAGAACCCAAAGCCCTCGTAGCCGCGGACGGAGGTGTACCGGGCCCAGTGCTTGTTCTTTGGACTGGAGTCGTTGAGGTTCTTGGCTGCCAGAATCAGGGAAGCCAGGAAGATGCGATGCACTGTGCAGCGCATGCCCTTGGCGACGGGGGGCAGGCGAGCCCGCAACCGGGCCAGGTAGACCAGCGAGGTCATCAGCGTCGGCACCTGCACCTGCGAGCGGAGCACTAGCGAGGTAATAAAGGTGGTGACAGATGGTAGAGGAGGCAGGTCTGCATCCAAGGGCGGCGTGCTGGGGGGAGTGGGCTGGCCATGCGCGTGATGTGCTGTCACATGCGGTTCGCAGCGGATGACCTGCATCGCTTGTTGAGCCAGATGAGAGATCATGTCTCGCGAGACGGGCTGCATGATGAACTCATGCAGCGCCGCCCGATCGAAGTCCATGATGCCGGTGGTGGTGTTGGTGGTGGGGGATGCAAAGTTGGTGTAAGGAGAGTAGGGATGGACAGCCATGGTACTTTGCAGGATGCAGGGGAAGAAAAAGAGGAGGGACGAGAGAGCGAGAGCCAGCAAACAAAAAAGAAAGCGAGCAAGACGAAGGATATAGAGAGGGCTTGAAGAGACGAGTGAAGAATGTGAATCCTGCCAGCAGGAAAGGGTAAGGAATGTGTTGTCGTGTCAACCTCCGTGATGAATGGGCTTGAGATAGTAGTGAGACAGTCACTTGAGACAAGTGATAAGATCGGTTAATTGCCACTTGAGGGGAGGGAGGATCCTTCCAGTATTAAATAGAAGCAGAGACAAGAATTGTCAACGAGTTAATGATAATAAATAAAAATAGTATATAGTATAACAAGTAGTAGTAGTGGTGGTGGTGGTGGTGGTGGTGGGGAAATAAAAATAACCACACGATGCTATGATGGCGGAGTAAGTGGTTGTTGATTATGATGTTTGTGTTGGTATAGTTAAATAACTTCCCTCGTGAAGAATGAATGACCGACCAGAAAACAACAGCGACGAAACGACGGATCATCCAAGCCTGATATAACACCAACAGCGAAGGCTGGACAGGAGCTGCAAGGACAGGAGGGCACCCGACGCGCATTGCATTACATGCATTCAAATCCATCCATTCAATCCCATTCAGGTTGGGACCTGACAAGCACCCTAGACAAGAACGAACTAACCACCAGTCCTGCAGGGGCCGATCGATGGATGATCGCTGGATGTGGGTTTGGCGCGCGCGACAGCCCGAGACCACCAGTAGCCAAGCATAACGGGATGATGGGATGATTGGATGACGGGATTGGAAGGGAAGAAGGGCACGAAAATGGAACTGGAATTATGTGTAAGTGTCTGTGTCTGTGTGTCCTGGGGTGGGTTTGGGGGGCGCGCGCCAAAAGAATGCCCGAGACACGAGATGCAGGAATGAATCAAGGAGCGTGGCGGGAAATGGTGGAAAAAAAGGCAAAAAAAAGTGAGAGGCCCAGCTGAGCGCGTCGCCAGCACGAAGTCTCCCATCACGATCCTAGAACGCGTGAGAGATACTTGGCCAGCCTGATGTTATTTCTAATTATACTCAAGGAGGATTTTCTCAACATGTGTTAGTTATTTTCCCCTCCATTCCAGTCTGATTGATTGATTGATTGATGCTACCCCTCTCTTTTCCTCCCTGTCAGCACTTTAGGGCTGCTGCACTTAAGCGCCCGGATGCAAGCGCCGCAATTGATGATCGTGCATAAGTTGGCAAGCTAGCTAAAATAGCTGGATGTGACTGTGCTTCCCCCTCATGCTGATGCTTCTATTCTTGTTACTTCACCTGGCTAGCTGCTACACTGGCTAACGCCTGTCTGTCTTGCATTGGCTCTGCTTGACATCCCTCTCTTCTCCACCTCCGCGGTTAGGTCTCGACGTGGGTGAAGATGGTTATATTTAGCAATCTTGATGGAATTCCTCCATGATTATCAACCCAACGGGGTTCCAGGCCTATGTACATATGATGATTCGACTGTCGCCTGGTCGCCCCGGCGCGTCATCAAACCATCGACTCCTGCTTGCCACCTCGAGTAACCCCCCCTTCTTCAGGAAAACAACCCCACCCTCCCCCTCGTCCTATAACTATGTCCCTCCGGTCTCCTGCCTAGGGAGCTGAAACACGGCGCCTACATTCTCATTCTCCGCTCCTAACAATCCCTTTTTGAAATCATTAGTATGTATCCTGCCACACTTGGTGTTTGTGATTATATTTACTCGATGGAAACGGAGTACTCGGACACCTTCAGCTCGGCGTCGCTGCCGGTGAAGGGCTCGGTACCCGCCTCAAGGGTGGTCAGGTACAGGCTGTCAGAGACACCCTCGTTGTCCACCAGGTAGGTGAAGAAGTCGTTCAGGTCACCGGAGAAGTCCTCGGTGGTCGACTGGGCGACGAAGCTGTAGACGGTGGTGTCGCCGTTGGGGCCGGTGTACAGGTCCCAGGTCACGCCGTTGATCGTCGGGGTGGCAATGGTGGAGCCGGATGACGAGATGGGGCCAGCACCGCCGAGAGCAGCAAGCCAGACCATGATCTCGTACTCATCGGAAGAGGAGTCGGCGGTCGAGCCCAGGAACATGTCGTAGGCCACGTCGGCCACGATATCGGAGCCAGAGTAACTATTCCCAAAGAGTCAGCATGTGTCCTGATGGTCAGTCGGAAGGTTTAGGCTGCAACATACGTCCACTTCCAGGTGGAGGGGATGCTAGAGATGGAGCTCAGCTGAGTACCAGTGAACTGCAGAGCAGCGTTGGCGTAGCTCTTGACGTCACTGCTGCCACCCTCCCAGGACCAGCTGGTGTGCCAGGCGATCTCGCTGCCGCTGGCCGAGTCGACGCCAGTGCACTGGGAGCCGCTGGAGGCGTTGTCTTCACCCCAGAGGTCGTTGTACACGATGAAGTCACCGGCGGTGGCGGTATCCCATTGGCCGCAGAAGTCGCTGCGGCGGCTGATAGAGGCGGCCGAAGCCAAAGAAAGAAGAGCGGAAAGAGCGAGAACCTTCATGATGATGGTGATTATTGGTCAAAGGAAAGACGATTGGTCGGGTAAAGTATTGATATTGGTGCAATGTGCGATCAACGTCCACTGACCCGGAGAATTATAGTGAATGAGCTGCTTTAAAGAGAAATCCATCTTCCTCCGACCGGGCTGCCTTCTTATACCCATGGGTGTGCCGTCTAGGTCTTCTGGAACAGGATAAAATTAGGCATAGCCCTCATCAAGCAGAAACAGCCGGGGCGATTTAGCCTATGGACCTGCTGAGCTTGGTCCTCATTGCCGTTGAGACATGTGCACTCAGAGTCAACGAAGGTTCTTGGGAACTCCGTCGCCGAATGGATCCTGACCCCGAGTGGATCAGGAGGGAGAAGGCCGATAGGATGAGTGTGGTGCTTGTTCCTGGTCTCGAAACGGTCCCACGGAATGCCCCGTGCAGGATGGAGGTCAACCAAACTCACGGACACGGTGGAAATATCCAGAGGAAGTTTAGATCAGGGGAATATCAGTGGATTCGTCATCTCGAGACGGGATAATGACCCGGATGAGAGGGGGGCAGCCACGGAGACGGTCCGTTTCGGATTAGATAACAGGATGCCGTTTAAATGAATGTCCAGGACGCCCGAGAGGGGCGTGGCTCGTCCGCAGGGTTCCAAAAGGTGAACAGCTTTATTAATCGATCGGACTAATCCCCCATCGGGCTCCGTCGAGACACATGGTGCTGTCAGAACAAGCTATTTTTGTGGACGGATTAATTTGACGTTGAAGATTATCAAAGTAGAGTTACAGTAACTAGAACTACGGAAAAACTAACAGACTAGTTAGTGAGTTTGACTCGGAGAAATGAATAATTACGGGATGATCAAAATGATAGTTTTGGCGTGTTTGACAGCCAGGCAAACACGGCCAAAAGCTGCTGTCTACTGCTGACTCAGCCGGACCATCCTGGTAGCCTTCCCGGATCAGGCAACCTGGAATTGAATATCCTCAATCCATCAATCAGAACAATAAAGAATAATCACCCCATCCTTTCCACGCCCTCTTCTCTCTTTCTCCTTCCCACGCCTCCCCCTCCCCCCTCCCCCTTCTCCACCATCCATTAGCTCTCTGCAGCTCCTGTTTTTCCGGTCAATTGCTTTCCCATCCGGAACAGTTCGTCATCATGCGCTGCGCTAGCTTCGCCGTGGCCCTCCTGGCCCTTTTCACCGGTCTCTACAGCTACCTGAACGCGCGGCTGGAGCAGTTCTACATCTTCGATCCGTCCCACCTGCACGACCTGTCGCAGCGCGCCATTGCTGCTCACGGTAATGACACCCGGTCGGTGGTCAACTTCATCGTCTCCGAGCTGGGCGAGAAGGTCACCGACACGCACCTGAACCTGGACGAGGAATGGGTGTTCAACAACGCCGGTGGTGCGATGGGGGCAATGTATATTATCCATGCTAGTGCGTCCCCTCTTTTGCTCCATACCACCTCTATATTTATCCATAGGGTCTGTGCTAAGCTTTATTTTCCCTATAGGTATCACGGAGTACTTGATCATTTTCGGTATGGCTTCCCCTGTATTCGGGTATTTTTATGCCCTTGATTGCACGTGCTAATCCTCTCTCCTCTTGCATTAGGCACCGCTATTGGTACTGAGGGCCACACTGGCCGTCACACGGCCGACGACTACTTCAACATCCTCCAGGGCACCCAGCTCGCCTATGTTCCTGGATCCTACGAGCCCGAGGTTTACCCCCAGGGTAGCGTGCACCACCTCCGCCGCGGTGAGGTCAAGCAGTACAAGATGGATGAGTCCTGCTTTGCTCTGGAATACGCCCGTGGCTGGATCCCCCCGATGCTCTTCTTCGGATACGCCGATACCTTCTCCAGCACTCTCGACTTCCCGACCCTGTGGGCGACGTCGAGAATCACTGGTCGCGAAATGATCTCCAACCTGCTCAAGGGCAAGATGTAAACCATAGATGGCGAGATGATGGGTATATGTACAATACTATTACTATTCTCACTATATTAGATAGACGACGACGTTGTCCGATAGAATACACTACCATTTAATAACGCTACCACAATTCATCCTTTCACCCCCTTACCTCTTTCTCTTCTCCGTTGTGCCTGTTTATTTTTCACCCTTCCCGGGGAACTAACCACACAAACACTGCAAACACACCCACACCCTGACTCATCCAATCCCTTATCGATAAGCCAACATCCAGGCCCGCGAAATCAGTTTATCAAAAATTGCTCCCCTCATCGCCTCCACCATCACCCACTATACCCTCACCCTCAACCCAGAACCACACCCACAAGCCACCACCATGCCCCCCTCCCCCTGCGCCCGCTGCCACGACCAACGGGCAGTAATCATCCGGCCCAAGAACAGGCAAAAACTGTGCCGCACGTGCTTCCTACACGTCTTCGAAACCGAAGTCCACGAAACCATCACCTCGACCTCCCTCTTCTACCCTGGCGAACGAGTCGCCATCGGCGCCAGCGGCGGCAAAGACAGCACCGTTCTGGCCGCCGTCCTCAAGACTCTCAACGAACGCTACAACTACGGCCTCGACCTATGTCTTCTCTCCATCGATGAAGGCATCAAGGGTTACCGCGACGACAGTCTCGAGACTGTGAAACGCAACGCCCAACAATACAATATGCCACTCGTAATCGTCAGCTACGGAGACCTATACGGCTGGACCATGGACCAGGTCGTAGCGCAGGTCGGCAAAAAGGGAAACTGCACATACTGCGGGGTATTTCGGCGGCAGGCGCTGGATCGTGGGGCCGCGAAGCTGGGCATTAAGCATGTGGTGACAGGTCATAATGCGGATGATGTGGCGGAAACGGTGATGATGAATCTGTTGAGAGGAGATTTACCGCGCTTGTCGCGGGGTACGAGTACTGTGACGGGATCCGCGGCTAGTGATATTAAGAGGAGTAAGCCGTTGAAGTATGCTTATGAGAAGGAGATTGTGCTGTATGCGCATCATCGCCAGTTGGATTATTTCTCCACAGAGTGTATTTACTCGCCGGAGGCGTTTCGGGGCAGTGCGCGGACGTTGATCAAGGATTTGGAGAAGATTAGGCCGTCTTCGATTTTGGATATTGTCAAGTCTGGGGAGGATATGGCGCTTTTGGTGCCCGCTGAGGTTAGGGGGAAGGGGGGGGAGGATGAGGAGGGCGGCGGTGGTGGTGGGTGTGGGAGTCAGAATGGGAGGACGAGGGGTGGTGAGATGGCGGAGATGGAGAAGAAGTTGAAGGAAGATGAGGCTGCCAAGGATAGGGAGATGGAGATTACTTCTGACAGCGTGCCTAGGAGGCAGCAACAGCAGCAGTCAGAGCAGATGCAGACGCCGGCACAGAAGAAGGTCAAGTCGCAGGTACTGGGGACGTGTGAGCGCTGCGGGTATATCTCCAGTCAGCGCGTGTGCAAGGCGTGTACGCTACTGGAGGGATTGAATAAGAATCGGCCCAAGACGGCGATTGAGATGGAGGTTGGCTTGGAGGATGAGGAGAGCAGCTCGACGTTGCGCCGGCAGATGGAGAAAGTTGAGCTGGGAGGTCTTTGAAGATATATATTTATGCCGTTATACATATACCCATGATCACAGAGTTATATTATTAGAAGCAAAGTTCAGCCTCAGTCAACAGGCTACTAGTACTGTAAATAAAACGACAACCTTAAAGAGGATTATCAGTACCATCATAATCTCACTTCTAACATAATAGTATATCCATCCCATGTGACTGACAAGTATGACCTACATACTAATACATGCCAGCCATATCTATCATACACCAGCCCATTCAGTCAGAGAAGATATCATGTTCAAACTAATACATTTAATACGAACTCTACAATACATAATTACCTCCTACCATCTCAAAAACAACCCCCTCTTAAAAGACCCTCAAAATCAATCATCATATTTTATCTATAATACAACCCCCTTCCCCCCAAACATATCATACATACAAAATATCATACAAAACCCCCTCAAAACGAACACAAAAGCCACAAATGAATCACAAATTTAGAGAAAAAGAAATATACACCCAAAACTCCACCCATGACTTAATTTATCCACCCTCCATCTTTATCCCCCCCATCTCCATCCCTCCCCCCCAAATACCCCAACCATAAAATCAATTCACTCAACCCTCTCCTTCCCCGCCTCAACAGGCAAATCCCACCCGACCCGTCTAGCCGTCAACCGAATCCTCTCTTCCTCATCGAGGGTAGTACCAGGGTTATATCTCTCGACGAGCTCGGCATACACGCGCTGGGCTTTAGCGTAGATAGCGAACTGGTTTGCCTGGTCGAGGCGATGTTGGCGGAGGGATTCTTGTGCGTCTGCGTCCACAACACCCGATCGTGCTTGTTGTTGCTGCTGCTGCTGCTGCTGCTGGTTGCTGGTGTACATGTCGCGGAGGCGGTGTTGGAGAGGAGTAGGAGTGGAGAGGGTCCGGCGGGGGAGTTCGCGGAGGAGGGCGCGGTAGGTTGTGGTTGTTTTCGCGGCCGTGGACATTTTGATTTCTTTTTTTTTATTCCCTTTGGGATGGAGGAGGTGTTTAGTTTGGGTGGGTGGTATAGGTTTGGTGCTGGATTTGATGATGGGTGTGGAGGCTACGGATAAGTTTACGGAGGATGCGGTGTATATCACGTGATTTCACATTTCTTTCTCTCTCTCTAAGTTTGTAGCAAAGATATGGATGGGGTTGTGTGTAGTAGAAAACTACATTATGTACATCATCATCAATCAAATGACGATCATCATTCATTGTACTCGTCAGCTTGGTGGTTGCTGTTGCTGTTGCAGACTCTGCTGCAACTAATCATAACTCTCCCTCTCTCTCGTCTCTCACGACCGTAACCAGCCGAACTTCTTGCGTCCGGTGTCGCCGCCTGCCGAGGGTTCGACTTGCATACTGCGCGAATACAAGTCCTGGTGATTGTCAGCATCATAGAAATGGAATGGGTTAATGGGGATTGGGGAAGGGGTGTACCTCGTCATCCCCCGACAGCTTAATCTCCAATATCAACCTTTCTACCTCCTCGTACCTGGACATATGCGGATACGGTGTCTTCTGGCTACGCTGGATTCCCAGAACCACCTCTCCCATTACCTCGAACTTGCGCCAGTTGATGCGGTTCTTGTTGTCGCCCACAAACGTCTTGTTGCCCTCCTCCGCTGACACCAGATCGCGTCGGTGCAACGGCAGGAACGGGATGCGCTCCGCAAAGGAATTGTCCCATGCGAGACGATATGCAAAATGACTCTTCTGTGTCCCCATGAGGATGACCAGCCTCATAAAGTCTTTTTGTGTCTGCACCGGGACCAGGTCCCGTGTCTGGGACAGTCGGTGCACCGGGGTTCCGTTGATGCCGGCGATCACGGCCCCGAGAGAATTGTAGTTGTTAAGTCGGCGGAGTTTCTGCGGCTGTCAGACAATGTCTCGGCGCTATTCTTCCGAGTCAGACTTACCAATGCTATGTTCATAAATTTCTCAAGCGCCTTGGCCCGATGCTTCGGCTTGTCCCGAAGTAAGATCACGCTGGCTACGAAGAATGCGACATGGTTGAACTGCTTGATCATCCGGTTGACGTGCTTCAAGCTCAAAATCTTATCCTTCTCCACGCCGGAGATGCTGACATGTCGCACAAGGTCTCGCGGTCGGAAAGAATTAAACATGATCCAGTCCATGCGCGTCAGCTCCCGTGCGAAATCCTCATCCGGGATCTCCATCAGCTGGCGCCATTGAATTTTCGTTAGCGGGATGCGTGGCGTGAGATCCAGATTATGCGCCTCCCGTTGCGCAGCTTCGGTACTCAGGAATGTGAACGACTGGCTGGCGATGGTCCCGGGCTTTTCGGAGGTAAACGAATTCGACATCGACCCCGACAGTCTCGACGCAGGCTCGGCTGCACCTTCGCTAAGGTCCAAAGCGCTCATGCTGTAAATAGGGTCCTCTTCCTCTTCCTCGCCTTCATCGCCAAGCGGCGGCGCCCCAAGGAAAATTGATGGTGAGCTGCGCCCGGAAAACTGGAACGGGGGGTCGGCAGTGTCAGGTTCTTCCATGTCGCCATCCCTATACGGCCATCCGATATTATCGTCATCTGCATTCCCCTCCAGATACGATCCGATCTCCTTGGCGGCGAACATGTAAAAGTGGCTCTTCTCCAGCGTCGTGACGAAATCGGTGATTCGCTTGCGAGTCTTCGGGTACGCCAAGTCGCCCGGATATTCAGAAATCCACTGCGCCATCACTCCCAGCAGCCTCAGCTGAACTGCGATGCGGTCGAGCTGGTCCGTCATGTCGTTCTCATTCCGTTCGAATCGGTTGATCAGAGCATTCAGCAAGGTACACGGCGCGGCGAACTTGCGATAGAGACACAAAAAGATAGACGCGAACTTCGAATCTTGCTTTGACATCGGTTGTGCGACCAGACGATCTACTAGCTCGTCAAAGGTGAAGCCTGCATCATTCGATGAGCTCTCGCTAGGCGTCTGGTCCTTGCTTCCCGGGCTCGACGGAGCACTCCGGGGCCCATCAAAGTCCTCCCCCATCTCTAGAAAGTTGCTGAACGCATCTGACCCGCCGCTGTTGCGCCAGGCCGTGTGAAGTCGATGTTGTCGGTTGAGATCCTTACTTGGTGACGACTCCCCGGATACAGACTGTTTGCGCGAGGCCAACCGGGACCCCGAAGGAGGCGTATGCGGTCGCACCGGATGCGAGTTGCTCCGGGCGTAACGAAAGGCCTGGCCATTGGAAGCCAGGTTGGCAGAGGTGGCCGGGTCGGTGGGTTGCCGGTCTACACCGTACCCATCGACAGCTGGATCAAGAGGTCCTGTGATTGGGCCGCCTGCGGCTCCGGATAATACAGCGGTGGGGGTCTCTGAGTTGGTGCGGCTGTGATGCCAGTCTGGGGTGGCGGATGAGTTGGAGGGGAAATCGATGAAGTCTAAAAGAGGAGCCGTTAGCATCCACGTGTGAACCAGACCAGCGGGAAAATAACGGCCACAGGAATTGGATGGTCCAGCTGCGGTCCAGCTGCTCTTGCGCTGGACCCGAGGGATCGGCGGGTCCTGAAAACCACTGCACCACGAGATACGCGAACGCTAAACACACGCCGCGCCGCAAACTAGCGCGAAACCCAGTGGGCCATCACTCTAAGGGATGGGCTATAGCCGGGGGGGCGACGCAATGCGTTGGGTGATGCGAGCAGACAGATGGCCACCGAGGCAGTGGACCGTTCCGCCCTGTTCTTTGGCTTTCCTCGCCTCTCGCGTATCCACATGGCAATCGCATAGGTCAGCTTGTCCACTTACCATATTTACGGCTGATCACAGAGCGCAGAACTAAGGCAATGCACATCTTCTGCGACCGTGGTGAGTCAGGTGAGGTCCGGTGGATTTCATAGCCACCCAATATTGGCTCCACAGGGCTGTCAGGGGGTTGTATGTCGCATTTGCTGGCCACCAGCGTAAAGGGTATGTCAGAAGCGGTTAAGGAGTCTGCAGTCCATCAGCCCACATCCTAGAGTTACATTGCGCGGCGACCCCGGCCGCTGCAGAACCGGCAATGCGACCAACCTAGTAGTTCGGTAAATTCAGGGAAACTGGCCGGTTGAGTCATATCCAGTAGAACCAGCACCCCATCCACTGTAGGAGGCGAGTCGCTACCCAGTAAGGGCCAGTTGACTTCGCCATTGTTCCCAATCGTAATCTCCAATGTATCTATCTCCATCAAGCGAACCAAGTACACCGTCCCGTCCAGGGACATCTTCTTTGTGGTCGTTCGGGAAGTAAGCGGATGCTTCATGTCCAAGGCGGTTTCAATGAATGTCGATTTTCCGACATGGTCAGGACCGACCACCGCGATGCTCACATGGGGGAAACTCGGCTTCGGCGTTGTCTGCGGTACACGCACGGGGGTCAGAAAAACATTGCGCTCGCCAAGGGTCCAATGACATGAGTTTGGATTTAGCCATACCTCCTCACGGGTTGATGATGGCACCCTATCCCCTCCGGCCGATGGCGGGTTCTCATCCTCCTCCAGAAGTGTCCGGCCGACCTTATTCCCCGATTCCATCGCCGTTCTAGCCGAATCAAGTCGGTACAAACCTCCGACGGGAGCAGAAATCGTTCGACTGGGAAGGCCCGGTCGTTGTGGGAATGGCGCAGCATCGGCTTTATCGCTAGATGCTCGTTCTCTTCGCGAGGGTTGGGAGGCCATGGTGACGATGTGGCTTTACTTTCTTTTTTTTTTCTCTTTCTGCGCGAACGGATGGGCGGTGCTGTGGCGCGAGTAAGGTCCGGTCGAACAAACAAGGTGCGACAGCGCAGGGTCCAACAGCTACGTAAGTGAGTGAGGCGGACACGACAGCTCATCCATTGTCGCTTGGGTGGAAAACGTAGAAAAGGTCCAGGCTTCGTCGGGTTCGCCGCAATCGAAAGATTTCCAAGAGGCTGCTCGAATCAGCTGGGGGGGTTAATGTTCCCCTTTTATCTTCGGTTGTTTGTGGTGGTCAAATTTCGATGATGATTAGCTGAGTGATTTTTTTTTAATTGTCGTCTGCCTCGTTTTTCTTCTTTCTTTTCTTTTTCTCCGTCTTTCCTTTTCCTGCTTTTCTCGACTATCGTGGATCTCGTCGGCTGAGGCAGGTTACCGGAGCTGGACACAGGTAGAACCCAAGTTAGCAACAGAAACAACAATGGGACCGGCAAGAGGGTCGCACAAGTCTTACGAGAACTCGTCCGGGTTGGAAAATCGACCAGGGGGCAGTAAGAGCTATGAGTGGCAGCGAAGAAACAGAGGGGTGTCAGGGAGAGAGCAGCTTGAGGGAGTGCCGCCAGTTGCAGGGGGGAAGATGTCACTCGACCGAAAAATTGAGCCCCCAAAGAGTCAGTCAGAAGTTGGGGCAGTTTGGGGTGGAGGCTGCGGGCGGGGAGATTTGAAAAGTAAGTCTGGTTTGGTTTTAACCCTCTCTCTCTCTCTCCAACGGCAGGTTGATTATTATAATTATGGTTATGCTTTTGTGTTTTGAAATTCTTATTATTAGAAACACCGGGGCACTTCTATGGGTCAATCCGGCAGAATCCCTAGCGGAGCAACACAATGGCAGGACATCCCAGGCCAACTGGGGAAGATTGTGATCTTACTAGAATCGGCCGTGTTCACCACCGGATGGACCTTGTGTGTCCCGCCGCCGCCTTTCTCTCCTCACGCTTTCCCTTCCTCCTCACCAAACTCTCCGGCCAACGATCCAGAACCCCAATCGCTACTGCTTGTCAGCAAGGGAGTCGGCCGTCCAAAGCTAACTCAACTAAGCAGCGCGGCAAGTTACTTTGCATTCAACAATGGCAATGCGTGCAAACCAGTTCACCCAGTTGATTGTTCCCCAGAGTGTCTCCAAGCATACAGTAAGAACGTCACAGGCAAACGGTGTCTCTCTCTCTTCCTCTCTCTCTCTCTCCTCCCCGGAAATTCCCATTGACATGAGCGGGCGGAGGTGCTCGGGACGAATAACATCGCAGTTCGTCAAAACTTAGCCAGTGTCCCAAGACGGGGAGATCGGTAACTAGCTCAAGTAGTCTGAAGGCCTTTACGAATCACAACAAGGCAAATCCTAAGGTTAAGGCCAATTGCTCAAGTCCCCGTTGTTCGGGCATCTCGTTGGTAGACATGAGATGTGATGAGGCACGGTGATGGACGATTGGCGGCATTTGAAGGAATCCTTTCGAACGGGTCACATTTCCCCGCCATTTTCCCCCCTCATATGGGGGGCTGGAGAGATACTACGGAGTAAACAGATAGGATACATTGCCTAGGTTGAAAGGCTCTCATGAAGATCTGCGACGTTGAGGTCGCTCGCTTCAGTTCGGCTGGGGATGCAGTGCGTGGAGTGGAAGTGGATAATTCCACCTGAACCATTCTCATGCTTCCGCCATGGACAACAGAATTTCCAATCCTGCCATGCTGAAAGTCAAACTCTGAAACATGGCTTGACCAGGTTTCGATGCACATAGCGACTGCTATTGGTTTCAATGCTTGGTCCACGATGGCGCTGTCTGGGTATGTTTTGACTTTAGTCACATGTTAGCATAAAGAGTCACTACTTTAGACGATCTCTTGCCGGGCATCATTGCCAGTAGGCCTGTCTGGATACTAGATGGGGTAGTTGGTGGAGTATACACTAAAAGTCTTATGCTACATGCTGCACGATGACATCTCTGTCTTCCGTGGGAGACTTTCAGTAACCCGTTGAGATAGATGTTTCGATGCCTTAGGCCTTAAAGTGGCCAACTCCGTCACTTTTAACATCGCACTACATTATGATATGCCGATGTCGGCATCAATGGTCTTGATCTCTCAAGTCTACATTGGTGCATTGTTATCTCGTCAAACAGGTCAGATGGCATAACACAGTCTGGCTTAGGTATATCTTAGACTCTTTGACTTCTCGCAGGAGGAAAATCCGGTTCATGCACCTCATGCTTACATGGCGTTGTGCAGATGGGTGACATGCACACTTGCGGGAACCTGAAGACACGTCGGAGACTCGGTGATACTGTTGAAACTTGATGGCGGTGTATGCTGTGAAGCCATGCAAAAGTACCGAGCTTCAGCTAGACCGCATATTAGGAAAGTGAACGCTGTTTCGGCCTGCCACGCCTCTGTCCAGGCTCGAAAAATAACGCGGACAGCGGAAAGTACTTCGTATTGGGAAATCTCATTTGTTCCTAGTTGAATATAATGGCTTCCGAATGATGGATCAACCGCGGTCGGTGATGAGTAGTCGTGGTTGCGCGAGTTAACGGACTATTATATATTTTCATATGCATCCTCGGGATGTACTTGAACATCCGTCTTTACCAGGCCTTGTCATCCTTCCTCATCTCCATGAACACCTGACTGGACTAGCATGCAAATACACACATCCTCGGCAGATCTCATCGTGGAGTGCGCAGCCGGGAAGTACCCAGGCATGAATGCCGGCAGCGTTGGGTCCTGCTCCAATGAACTCGCAACTATTATGGGGTCCCTTACATGCCCTCGTGTGGAAGCTCATTACCAGTGACTAGGGACGTGAAGCGCACGAACCCCTCCGCTTTCTTCCCAGTCTCCAAGCCCTCCTCGCATCTTTCCCGTAGCCTCCTCACCCGTCCCACTCCTCGGTTGAAGCCCTTCTCACGGGTCCACGGTCCGTTATGACGGTGCGGTCCTTTGCCTCTCCCATGGTGTCGACCCCGTCCTCCAAAGCGCTGAGTCTCCACCCATGCTTCCTCCAGAGTAGTCTTGTAGATATCGTACAGCTCCTCACGAAGCGAAGGGAACCGATCGAGTAAATCTTTGAGTTCGGCCGAGCTCCCTAGGGATTTGATATCGAGGCCGTTCTGAGCCTTAGGTACTACCTCGCTGGTCGCATGTTCGTTCGATTCGCTGGGAGGCTGTTGAGCGTCGGCGGTTGGACCGGTCGGTTTTGGTGATGGTGCTTTAGGTGCGCAGTAGATTTTATGGGACTGAGTGCATGCCAGGGAGCAACTAGAACGACGACAATTAGCACCGGTATGTTCTTTCCTTCTCAGAGAAATGGATTGAAGCACAAACATACCTCATGAGCCCACATGTTGGGCATCGGTACTTCGAAGGCTCCGAGACGCAGACCTCACAAGTGCCGGGCATTTTATCGCCAGCGTCCCATCCAAACCTTGTGCCAACTGCGCGACAATCAAGCTCTGTAGGACATTGTCTTGCTTCGGCCGGTCGCAAGGGTCGTATGAAGCGAGCGTGATGGCGTGTGGACCAAAGATGGGGTACCTTAAGTCCTACAGAATTGAAGGTTTCTGCAAAGGAAAAGTGATGATAAAAGAATGACAGCCGATAAGGAACCGTCAGGCACGATCGTCTAGCGGACCGAAAAAGAAACAAACTCAGCCCAATAATGGGGGCTCACGTGAAGTGGCGCGGTCCATGACGACAATCGATCCCCATCCTCTCCTCAGATACGTATCTACTAGTACCTGAAATACCTACAAGTGCCTCGCTAGATTTCCTCGTCAATTATTCGTCGTACGGGATTACTGATGCGGTCTTGACAATGCTACGAAAGCCCGAATGATCATAGTCATCTTCCTACAGCGAGCGGTTCTCCGTCTGCAGTCTGCCCGCCCTAAATCTTATCAATCGTGGCAGACGGCTTGTGGGACGAAATAATCGGCTATGGGAGGCATTCCTTTTCGATCAACCGGATGCAATACGTGCCGGCGACGAAAGGTCAAGGTAAGACCAATCATGCAAGGCCCGAACAGGCTTGATTGCCCTCGGAGAAAGAACAGGAACGGTCATCTAAACTATGACTCTGTGTGTAGTGTGACGAGGCAAAGCCGGAATGCAATCGATGCATCAAGAATGGCCATGTTTGTACCGGCTATGAACGGAAAAGGGTCTTTATCCACAAATCGTCCGAGGTCATAGATGATGGAGAACTGAAGCTCGTCCGTCGCCCGAAGTCGACTTCCGGGAAGATTCCCGACCGTCAATTAACACGGGTGGAGCCAGGCCTTCCCCGTGTGAATATCAATGCGGAGGTCCGATCACAGTTGCTCGCCTCCTTTGTGGGGGGCTTTCTTCCTTCGTCACGGCATTTGCAAGATGGTAAAGATTCAAACATCCTCAAAACGCTTCCTGAACTATGTGGTAATAGTCCTCTGCTGGACAGAGCACTTCTATCGCTCTCTTCTGCTTTTCTTGCGAAACAACACAAGGACGATCGATTGCTCGGGTATAGTACGAAGCTCTATAACAATTCGATGGAGATCATGCATGGCAAGATCAGATCCGGCAGAGGCCTAGGCCAAGATGTCCTATACACAACAGTTATTTTCCAATTATATGAAGTCAGTGTTCCCATTCTCATCATCTTATGCCTTTTCTTCGCAAGCTGGTCTAACATTTCACAAAGTTAATCCACTCGTCACCCCCGGGATTTATGGCCTGGATAGCACATGTGCAAGGCAGTAACGCGATCATTAACCAGTGCAGCGTCCGCCAAAAAGAAACTATTGCTGAGAAGTTGTTCCACCGTCAACTTAAATTTGTTACTGTCAGTCTCCTTGGCTTCGGATTGATCAACCAGCTGATCCTCGTAACAACTGAGTGTTGCTGACATCGAATCGCCCAGTTATGTGATGCGGTGGGGAGACGCAAGGCCGCCACCCTCTATGAAGTTCTGACTACGCAACAACGCTTATCCCAGAGCTCAACGGAACTTGAGCCAATCGATGAACTGACGGACCTTCTGGCCGAGTGCTCTGCTCTCACAGAGCACGTAGACATTTTCATCGAGCAACTCCCTGCCAGCCCTAATGACAGTAAGAACGACGGCGAGAACTTATTGGGTTCTTGCCTATCGCTAGAAGGAAGACTACACCAGACATGTCTCAGGATGCAGGAGAAACTTGGGACGCCGTCTACAGGCCTTCATGATGTTCCCTTACGGGAAGACATGAGAGCACACCTTGCCACCTCTTTATTCCCCGATCCCTTCCAATTCGCCTCCCTGGCCTGCGCTGAATCGCACCTCATCTATTGGGCCACATTGATTATTCTGTACCCGCTAGTTGATGAACTTCTCGACGTTCTTGGCTATCGCAGAAATGACGTTGCACCCTCGCAGTCCTGTGCCACTCATCCCCCGACGAGTGAACAGCGTTCCTTGGACTTGGATGTGGCAACAGATTTCACAGCGCTGGCGGAGCATTATGCAGATGAGATTTGTCGATCCGTTATGTACTGTACACAGTCTGATATGAATACGCTGGGCGCGCAATACTTGCTTGCCCCTCTCAGCCAATGTGCGCAATTCTTCCAGGTCCACGAAGTAGCGCAAAAATACAGGTGGTGTCAGGGGGTGTTTGTGCTCTTTGACTCGCTAGGTCTGGGAATAGCTCCGTTGCTGAAGGATATGGTTTGGCCCCAATACCGCTCCGCTCGTCTACGTCGGTCTTTGTCATCGGCGGGAAAGGTCTCATGATGAGCTTTGGCCTGTTCAACGCGATTTCGGTGCCAAGGTGGCAGGTCACAGTTGAACCTGTCGGAATCACGCATGGAAGCACGGGAACTACACCGAGTACATCTTGAACGGCTACCAGCGACCGACCTACATAATATCAAACTAGGATTACCAACCGACATGTTGGTTTAATCATGACCAGAAAGCAAGCGAGTGATGCGAGCAGCAGCAGCAGCTCATTGTTGGTCTTGATGCAGGACAAGGTACTGGGCCGCGAGCGACAGGTCACCACATGTCTGTCTCTACACCACACGTCGACCTTAACGCTCACCAGCCAGGAATATTCAGGAAAGGCCGGGTTAACCGCGATAGGTTCACCAAGTAGCAGACCCAAGCATGTGGCCTCTTGCACAACGCAGGTATAACCGAAGCGGAACTCGGCTGAGAGGCATTCCTGTTACACCCATGATATATAGTGCTTAGTACTACGGGCATTTAGGCCCACCAGTCAGATAGTCTACATTACACTGTACGAGTAACAAGCAGAAAGAATTGAATGCCGAACAATTCCTGGGGCAGCGATGTCAAACTGCCGGCAGTTGATTGGTGGATTCCGCTCTTCATTTGTCAGCATCCTCCGGTTGGGAAGATCACGTGCCATCACATTGCGTCAGAGGGAATCGAGTTTCCCATCGGCATTTCTGGTCGCTTTTCTTCTGAACAGGAACGAGTCTGATACCTGCCACTCTCCCCTCTTATCATCACAGCGTCAATATGTCTGTCAGCTCAGCGTCTGGAAACATGCTTAGGCGCACACTCTTCAGCGTCAGATTGACTACGCAGCAACTGAATGCTGCGGAGTGCTCCTCCCGGATCGCCAAACCCGCGGTGTTCGGATCATACAGGAATGTCCACCGTTCGGCACGAGTGCCTGCTATCACCGCCTCAGAGGCTCGTCGCCGGCCGACCTTGAAGCCTCACCAGCACTCGCTCGTGCAGGCTCGCGTAAATGGACCATCGCCGTCCAGCAAGCGCACGATATTCATTCAAACAGAAAACACCCCGAACCCTGATGTAAGGCTTCCCGTGGCACACCAGCACGAAGATCCCAATGAAAGAACAAGCATCTGACCCTTGTATGCGGAACCCAAACAGGCATTGAAGTTCATCCCTAACCACCGTGTCCTCCCCGAGAATTTCCCGACCACTTTCCTCGAATACCTGTCCCCCCGCTCTACCCTCGCTCCTCCGCACCCCTCTCCCTTGGCAGCAAGCTTGCTCAATGTCGACGGTGTCACCTCTGTATTTTACGGGCCTGACTTCATCACCGTAACCAAGGCGACCGACGCCAACTGGGCGCACATCAAGCCCGAGATCTTCAGTCTCATCACTCAGGCCGTGACTTCGGGCGAGGCGATCGTAAACACCGTTGCCAAGACTGGTGAGAGTGGCCAGGAAGGTGGCGAGTCGGAGTCCCTGGCCTACGAGGAAGAGGAAGACGAGGTGATTGGCATGATCAAGGAGCTTTTGGACACAAGGATCCGTCCTGCAATTCAGGAAGACGGTGGCGACATTGAGTTCCGCGGCTTTGAGAACGGTATTGTCTTGTTGAAGCTGCGCGGTGCTTGCCGGACCTGCGATTCGAGTACCGTGACGCTGCGTAACGGTATTGAGTCCATGCTCATGCACTATGTGAGTATCACACTGCCTGCATACATATTGAAAATAGAGTTTGACTGATTGTGTGTCTTTTTGCCTACAGATCGAAGAAGTTCAAGGAGTCGAGCAAGTGCTAGACCAAGAAGAGGAAATTTCGATGCACGAGTTCGCCAGATTCGAGGAAAAGCTGCGCCAGCAGAAGGGCGCTGCCGCTACTGCCTCGACGGGCGGCAAGGGAACGTTGGATTCGGCCCCTTGAACACCCTCCTATTTCACCTACTATATTTTAATCACTTCTATCTCATGTGTATTGTATTTTGACGTCGGATATACTACCATCTGGGTTACGGTCCATAGAAAGCTTTGCCAGACAATGCTCAATCTCCCCTCTATCAGTATACCAATCAAGCAAGAATATCCGTAATGCTTGTGCAGAAAACGCAAGCCCCAATCATTCTCAATATTGATGTATTCCAATGACCCATACGTACTAGACGGCCAAATGAATAAAACCCACCTTCCCCCCCTAACCCTCTAAGTCCGAGAGAGACATCACTCCAGGAAAAGACCTCAACCGAGCCGAGGGATATCACATTCTCACACACACACACACACACACACACACACATACTCCGTACAAACTACCGAAACCCAACCTGCCATCTGTGCGTAGCCCAGCCCAGCCCACAGTAGTATCATGTGTGTGTGTGTGTGTGTGTGCGCGCGCGACAAACCTAACTAACATAACCAACCCACCAGACTATACACTAGTTACATACTAAGTGTAACACTAACAGTGGAACTGGACTGCTCTTAGTAGCGGCAGAGATCATCGGCTCGGGGAGATCGGGAAATGGAGACAGGATTTTTAGCTTCAACTGATTTGGTTCGGTCTGGTTAGTTTATACGGACTTGGTGATGAAGTTTGGTGGTATATTGTGTTGGGAGGGTATGTATTGGGAGGAGTGTTGTTGATGTGGGGTTGAGGATTGAGGATTGAGGTGTGGTGTCA